CCCCACGCAAAAGGACACCGCCCAAGAAGAATGAAGCAGTCGCTGAGATCGTCAACAACATGTCCGCTGACCTCGTGATTGATTTCACAGTGATCGTCGATGGTGATATCTACCCCGTAGAGATTGCGAGAACCGACGAGACACAGGCCGCTGACAACGTCACGGACGATCCAGGGTTCTCCGTTGCTCCACCAATACCTGCACAGGATGTAGATGTGGATGCGCAACCCGAAGAAGAACAAGGTGCAGAAGGCCCTGATCCCAGGCAGGCGATTCGTGAAGGATTTGTCGCACAGCTTCAGGACTATGTGGGAGTGCTCGCTCAAGGCGAAATGTCGGTCGGAAGTGACCGCCTCACGTTCTGTATCGCTTGTGGCAGTGATCTACACACTCTGTCCAATTGCACGGAAAATTCTGCAACCCGGGATCTGGTACTTCGAGGCATCCAGATCATCAAGGAAAGCCTTCTTCGATATCCACGTCGAGTACCTCCACAAGAGGCTGAGCCAATGGACGTTGACACCACAGACCATGTGAGTGTTGCATCCTCGGACCGACGACCCAAGGCCAAAGCCCGACCGCGACGCGGAGGCGAAGCCGTACGGGGTGATGTGGTCTTGATCCGTTATGAGAACAAACACAATCTCTGCACGGATGTGGAGAACCGTCGGGGCCTACATGATGCTTGTGGCGTACCACTGCAGGAATCAGGACCAGAGAATAGCCAGCGGGTGGTGGACCTCATTGAGCAGCTTTCGGACCATCGCGACCGACGCCTACCTCAACGAGGAGACCGTCCTAGCTTTGCTTTTGACGATACCACTCAGGGCTACACCAATGCAGGCTATGAATGCATCGGCGGCGGAAGGCCAATCCGGTGCGGGATTCTCGACCTGATCCCAACCAAGGGTGCAAGCTTCATCAACAATCGATGGGACATCGTGAACGAAGTTGTCCTTCGCAACATCACCCGTCAGCGCAGACTAAACGCGGATTGGGCGCTATCATGCATCCAATCTGACCTACGTCACAGAATCGCCAGGCGCCCAGGCTCGGAATGGCTTGACAACAGGTGCCAGGTGGCATTCAACAGCGTCATTCGATGTGATGAAGGAGGGTGGGTGATGATCGAAGACTTGGTGAGGCATGAGCAACTATGGACCCATGAAAGCAGACGCATCACCGAAGCGGTCTCAAGGACCGATGAGCAACAGAAGAAGAGAGTGTACAATGAAAGACTTCAGCTATTGTTCCAAGGGAACATGCTCGCAGCCACGAAACGCCATAAGGCCAAGATTCGGTTGCAGTTCCTGGGAGTGAGAGTGAAGGACCCCGGCACGGAAACTCTTGGATCAGCAGGTTCGAACATGTTGGTATCGGTTCCTGACCAGATCACGGAGATCCAGAACAATGATCATTGCCGGCACAGCCAGAGGTACCTGAACGTTTGCAACGGCTGGGTGAAACCATGGGCAGTTCGGGCTACAAGTGGTCACTCTGCGCACTCAGATCCCCAGAACAATTTGCTTCAGTTGGACAAGAACAGGTTCGCAATATCTCCATCTATGACCCTCTTGCAACGTCTTGGAGGCGCGTTCCACGCTACGGCATGCCGCAACTTGGATTCCATTGTCACGCAAGGCATCATGCCTGGTTCGGAGGACCCCGACGGGGACTTCGACCATAGGCGCCAATTTCGAGGCAACCAAGGCGGCAGACTCCACAGCTATTGGGGGGTGTTTGCACCGTTCGATCACCGGAACGCGACGACCAAGATGCGGGTGCATGGACGAGATGCCAAGCACATGCCACTGGCGGTCCTCCATGTCCCATCGCAGGACCTTGCACGAGAAGATGGACGTATCACAGACAGCGGCATCATGATCGTTGGCCGGACGATACCGTTCCATTTCGTCAAGGAGGTATGGTTTTGCGTCCCGGATCCTCAAGATACACACTCTTTCGCTCTGGTGGAAAAGATCTACGATGAACGATTGGAGAAAGAGCTGGTGTTGGACTACAATGCATCACCATTGCTCCCTGAGTTCGAGAGATACCGAACGCCGAGCAAGATCATGGAATTGCTTTGCGAGATGCCTCCTGGACCCCACGACACCAGCAAGGAGCAGATCATTCGAGACCTTACGACTGTCCTGGAGTCCCACAGGGAGAACACGGTTCGGCATCACTACATGGACAAAGGGATCAAGTTTGTCATCAAGAATTGGCGACCCGAAGACCTACGCAGAGACGAGGATGGAAGGAGAATGAGGGTGTGCCCGGCATGCTACAACATCGTTCCAGCATGTTTCTCCCGATGCACGTCTTGCTGGTCACAGTTCGTTTCGAGCGGATATTACCAAGGTTCTCCACAACGGGAGACTCCTACGGAGATCCCCAGTGACTTCATCGCTCAGACAATGGAAGCCGCAGCAGCAGCAGTGCCTGAGGCGCCCGAAGAGGAGCAGGAAGCCATGGAGGTAGAGACCGTTGCGGAACCTGAGGAAATCCCAGAGCCATCTGTCATCGCAGAGGACGATCCAGAACAGGAACCTGATGAAGAAATGGACATAGAGCCAGGAGAGGACTTTGATGACGCAGTACCAGATGCAGTTGCACAGGAACGTCGTCCCGTCTTCATTACCGGCCAGTCTTTGAACATCGATCCTGAGCTACAACTTGCACGTACCGCCATGCAGCCATCCTACTATTCTGGAAAGCGAAATGCCCATTGCATTGACGCCAACATGGCCGCTCTTTCGTATATGGCATACGTGGTATGCAGATCCATCTACAAAGCTTGGTCAGGGTTCGCAAAGTGGGCGACTATGCCGTTGTTCCAGATGAAGGAGAATTTCGCACTTGGCCAACGCTATGATGTGCTCGGAAAGTGGGGATCTTTGGCGGCAGTGGATAGGGAAACGGGTGTGAGCAAGGATGTGACTGATGAGGAGATCATTCGCTTTGCCAAGGAACCTGAGAACTTCAAGCAGTATGATCCCAACGGGACTTACACTTTGAAGCGCTTCCGGACGAATCAGATGCTTTCGTTGCTTACACGGGGAGCCAACATGATGGGAATTGGCAGGGACAACTTCAACCCTACTACGTACTTGAAGAGCAACAGGGATGAAGATGTGAAGGCTATGCACTTTTGTTGCCTGAACGTCCTGTGCGAGGTGATTCCGATGGTGACGGGACACCAACAATTCTCAGTGCTACGACCAACGCCAACTGGACCGGTGGACTTCTTGTACATCGACCCCGTCGGTATCCTGCTGACTCATGCCGATCATTCAGTCCAGACCATCGGATTGCTGGTGGACCACAATGTGCAAATGCCTGCGCATTTCATGGACAGATTGAACAGATCCAAGGCTGAGAGACAGCAAAACCCGACGACCAAGCGTACTGAAGCCCTACACCACATTTCGGCCGCTGACTATCTCCCTCCAGGTGGTACTTCCATCCTGGACACGCCTGTCACTACGGAGGAACGTGCAAGCGCTTCTTCGGCCAAGGGACCTTCAAAGGGGCGTGAGAGAGCCGGAGGTGAACAGCATGGAGGCTGGAACGCCAACACCTACTATGACTACACCGCCGGCAAAGGCCGAAACAAAGGCAAGGACAAAGGAAAGCAAAGGGAACAGTATCCAGAGGAAAACCTCCGGCCCTGGGACCGCGATCCTGCGACCACGCGAAGATGGAGATGAATCAACGCTTGGTCTTCCTCGCCTATCAGTTCGTGACCTCTGAGCTTCGCCCATGGAATGCCATCGCGAATGCTTCTTTCTTCGGTGACGCCTGATTCGTTTGCCATTTCAGGGGATCGTTACTGACGTAGATGAGTGTCACAACGTTTCTAATTGGGATGCAAAGCTCTGATTTTCAATGTCAACGTTGCGGCGGAACATTTTCTGTTGTCCTATCGTGCCATCTTCCGGGTGAGCAGCGTCGGAGACGCAACTCATGGGGGGTGCGAACGGACTGCGATGCCTTGTCAAGTTCTAAGGTGTCACTATAAGAGCTGTGAGCAAGACTGTGTAAAGTGCAAGAGGAGGGGGCACGCTACGCGTCCCTCGACTCTAAGGGGGCACGCTACGCGTCCCTCATCTTTACCTTTCTATGTGACCGCCCACGCAACGTTTGGCTCAAGTCAATGCCCATAGCTAAGTGCTATAAGCGTCTTCTATCCTGAGCAATCAGAGCTATCCCGTTGCACAGACGAACCGCCGCCGGCAGTGAGTGCAAAAGGAACGGCCGCCGGTTCTGCCTGCATAGGATTGCACGCGTGGAAGTGTAAGAGAGACAGGGTCCAGTCTGTGGAGAGTGCAAGCCAACCACACCTACATTCATTACAGCTCTGGTGGGGAGAGCAGCAACCTAGTCGAGATCAATCCCCCACGCAGTAGTTATAGTAGGAATAGTAGTAATAGTAGTAACAGTAGTAACAGTGTAATAGTAGTAATACTCGTAGTAAATAGTAGCGCCATTACAGAAGCACTAGTCAGTACATGGTAGCAGTTGCAACGACAAGAGCAACAGAAAGACTAGTGAGAGAATGCGGCAGTGTAGAACCCAATCATTGCGATATTTTTCAGAGTTTGAGGAGGAATGGCAACGTTTGTGTTCATAGGCCTGCATTCCAAACCTCATGTGCGAAGGATTTCTTACAGTCGCTTTCCGACGACACGCTCCGTTTCCGTGCTTCGTGTCCCCTACACAGGGAAGCGCTCCGTCCCTTGTGCAGGCCGCTGCTTCCCTCCTGCGTGCTGCTGAAGACGGCCGGCTTGCCGAAGCATGGAGCCCGGTGAAGCACAAGAACATTTTTCGATTTCGGGGTCGGAAGGATCATAGTCGTCCGCCCGCACGTCTTTGAAATCCTGTGTGCTGTTCATTGTTGAAACGATTGTTCAGAAGACTAAGCTTTATTTTTAGCAATACTGTCGCGGATACGAAGAACGAGAAAAGAAAAGCATGTTGCTTCTGGTCTCGCTGAAATGTTCAAGCATTACTTCGTTTTCGACACACAGGAGTGAAGCTTAATTTTGGCTGTGCTGTTGCCAGGGCCCAAAGTTGCTGGTGTATCGCCGACGTTGACTACATAGTTAAGATAGCAGTTCGCGTTTGTGCGTGTGTGACGATTAGTTTCCCTACTCGGCTTGGCAGAGTTCGTCTGTGCGGGAAGCTGTGACTCTCCGTCAGGACAAAGGTGGCTGGGCCTCCAAGCTTCAAAATTTTGGTTGGCAGTAGTCTGGCAGTTGTGATTGCGACTGAAGCGTCCGTGAGGTTTTGGCTGCGAAGCCTGAGAAGGACGTGGACACCATGCGGAAGGATCGTCAGGGTGTGCGAGTTCGCAGAGACCCAAACCATAGGTCTGGAGGAGATGGTCTGGGGATCGAAGCCGAGGGTTTTCCAGGCTTTGGGGACATGGGATAAATGCACGTAGTCTCGGTTCGTAGCAGGCTCAGCACTTGTTGGCTTCCAACCAATCGAACTCCGCTGTACCGTGTATTTATACATGCATATATGTATATATATATATATATATATATATATATATATACGAGGCGCGACCAAGGGTCTCTGAGCCTGCGGAATGAATATATATATATATATATATGTATATGTATAGGTGTGTGTGTGTGTGTGTGTCTGTATACGTACTTATACTTATACACAAACAAATAAATATAAATCTAAATGTATATTATATATGTATACAACCTATATACAGATATGTGTGTATACATGTGTGTGTATTCATATCTGCATGTTTATTCATTACATATATCTAAATTGTTATTTGCATCTGTATTTCTGTTTATGTTTATCTTATCCATTACTGCCGCCAGGAAGCCGCGGCAGCCCTACTCTCCGCAGCACAGGAGAGCTGGGGTTACGAAAAATATTTTCGCACAGCGTTTTGACAGAGACGGACCTTCGCTAAAAGATCTGCCTTCCGCCTTCTACGAGCACTTGAACCGTTCTGAGATATGATCAGAGGCTGTGTGACGCTTATGGTACCCACCCCCAAAATAGTACGAGTAATATTTTAGGCACCTAAAGCTAAACCCTTAGAATAGCCCTTTATCGTAGCCCGTATAATGACCCGTATAGTTAGTGACCCTTATAGCGCCCTTGGCAGGATGGGCGCCTGGAGGCGGCTCTTGCAAAGGACCTTCGGGCCAGCCGGCGTTGGTTGCATGATGGGTATACTCTCACGCACGCTCTCCCTCTCCCTCCCTGACATCCACACAAACACGATCTATCTATCTACGTGTCTATCTATCCATCTATCTCTCTGTGTGTCTGTCTGCCCGTTTGTCTGTCTGTTTGTCTGTCTGTTTGTCTGTTCTGTTCCGTTCTGTCTGTCTGTCTCTCTGTCTGTCTATCCGTCTGATCTATCGGTCTATCTATTTATCTATATATCTGCACGCGTACATGTACATGCATGCATGCTTGTATACACACACACGCATATATATATATATATATATATATACATATATATGTACATATACCAAAACATGTTTATGCACATATGTATATATGTAGTATCTTACTGTATACCCTGACATATGCACACACACACATGTGTCTTTGCTTTGTGACTCTGTTCGACCCCTTGGGGTCTTGGGTATCAGAAGGTTTCCGGAGCGAAAAAGGTCCATGACTCGGAGGTCCTTCTTTGAATTTCGAGGGGCTCTTGCTCGAGCAAGTGGATCTGTTCACCTGGCTTTAGAGCAGAGACAGCCTCTGTATACAAGATGTTTTCTCAGGAGACCGTATCGGAGGCAGGGGGGTTTCGCGTTTTGTGATGTGTTTGGTTTGTGCTATCTTGAGCAGGAGGGGTTCTATGGGATTCTCACTGATTCTCATAAGAAAGATGCTCGTGCCTAGGAGCTACCTGCAGCCAGATTGTACAGTCCATGGCGTCCGGTTTTCCTAGCATCGGCTTCACTGCAGAAAGTAGGCTGTTGATAGCAAGACCACAACGTCACCTATCGGCATGGGCACCATGTAAGTTGTGACCACCGACCCCCCTGCCATTTTGGCTAGTCACCTGACTGCAGGCGCCGGCCGGCCGATCACCCAGTGTAGGCTTCAGGGCATCTCAGGTTGTCGGGATCGCTGGCACATCCTCCCCGGTCCACCAAGCCTGCCAATGCGTGCTTGCAGAGTCACTTCCCGAAGTTTTGTCTGACCCGCGAAGACAGTGGAGACAGCAGGAGCGTGATGTGAGCAGCAACCAAACCCTGGAAAGCAGCAACAGACATATCACCAGCAACGGTTGAATGCAGTTCTATGAAGGATCTCACAGGTGCAAGATTTCATTATTTCTTTCTTCGTGGGTTGCATCGATACACCTTGTGACCTCATGTATCATTCCAGTGCCGCAGGAAGCCAGTATAAGGTATTCTAATACATACTATGATATACTATCGCATGCTATGCAATATCTGTTACAATGTGCTCTCATATGCTATAATGCACACATGCAGACATACATGCATGCATACAATGATATAAATAAATAAATAAATATATATATATATATATATGTATATATATATATATATATATATGTATATGTATATGTATATATATATATATATGTATATCCTGCATATACATTTGTACATATACATACATATATACATATATATGTATGTGTTGGACCTTCATACACGATGTAACATTCTGTGCTATAGCCCTCTCTAGACCGAGGCGGGCCCCCGCCGGTGCCGGAGATCGACGAGGAGGTCCGTGAGCTCGCGCGGAAGACCTTCGAGGCCGCCTGGGTTCATTCGTATCTTATAGCACATGCCTGGACCCTAAGGAATCTACCTTTTAAGGGCTTCCTGGTATGAGTTCTTTATATAAGTCCGTAAAAAGGTAGGTTATTTGGGGCTAAGGTAATCATATATATGTATATATGTCATCGCCCATATTGTAGTATAGAGAACAGGTTGGACATGTCAGGAGGCTGCAGCCGACGGCCGGCTTGCTGATGCTTTGAGCCGCAAGCCCAGCAGAGGGCCGGATGGAACGGGCACGGGCTTGTCAGGTTTTCGCCCGTGTTGTGCGATCGCTTCAGGTCAGGAAAGCCACCCTATCCAAAGTAATCGCGATGGCAACAGACAGCTTCTTGTAAAAACGAACATCGCCGTTTGTATTGTCAAAGGCCGCATTCGACCTGCGTTTGTTGCACAAAATCCCGCAGTTCTACGTTCATTCTGCGTTCCGATGGCATGACATTCAATCGTAGCAAGACTTGACAAATGAGAAGGTGCAGTGGGAAGAACATGCTCGTCATAGTGGTCAGCAGTATCGACGCGACAGTGCAGGCGTATGTTGCCATCTGGCCCTTTTTTTCTACGAACCACACAGAGAAGCAAGCACCATTAGTCAAAATTCCGTGCGCACCTTGCCTCCATGGTGCGAGGGCGAGCGTCGAAACCCCAAAACATGCTCGTAGTTGTGAGCGCCAAAGCCCAAGAACTCTAAAGCCCTTATGCTGGTCTTTGTTCTGTAGTCCCGCAGTATGAGGGATTCGTGGTTAGGTCGGTTAGGTGGTCATCCCGCAAGTTAAGTCATCGAAGAAGCGTCCCCATCCATCAAAGAACCTGGTTTTCTGGAGGCGAACAGCTAAGGAAAAGAGGGCATTCAAAAAAGAAAAACCCAGAACCCTCAAACCCTCAAACCGTGAAGCCACTACAGCCTTAATTGCCTTTGGAAATCAAAATTGTTTGGAAATCAAAATTGTGACAAGGCAAGGCCTTGGCTCCAGAGCCTGCAGCGCCTCCTCAGGAGAGCCAGTTTCGGGTTCTGAATTTCCCCATGTGCATTTGTATATATGTATATATATATATACACACATACACATATTATATATATATATATATATATATATATATATATATATATTGATTGTGTATATACACGCATGTGCATGATCGCACGTATGTATACATGCAACGCTGTTTTTCTGCGTGCTTGGGGGCTTTGGCCTCGGATTTGGGATCTGAGGCTTTCGGGTCTTGGGGCTCCAGACTGAGGATTTAGGATTGCGGGTTTGGGGGGCTTCAGGGCCCCGGGTTTCTCTGGAGCCCTTCGTATAAAGGTTTAAGGATTCAGGGTTTATCCCCTCAGTTTCCTTTCTTCAGGGTACCCGGCAGCCGCAATAGGCCTGGATGCAAAAAGGGTTTATCGTATTAGGGTTTAGGGCTGGGGCTTAGGGTTCTAGGATTTTACGACGGTTGGAGGCCTGAGGGTTTTAGGGTTCAGGGCTCCTTTGCGTTAGGAGGTTCGGGCTGCCAGGGCTCGACAGCCAAGGTCTTGCTTGCAAGACCGGGCCTGCAGTAGGTCAGTCTATGAGCGTTTTAGATGCATAGGGCAAGGCACAGACATGCATACATTTGTGTATATATATACATATGTATACATATACATATGCATATACGTATACATATACATATACATATACATATACATATGCATATACATATGCATATACATATGCATATACATATACATATATATATATACATATACATGAACATATGCATATACATACATACATACATACATGCATATATGCATATATATATATATATGCGCATGTAAATACATATATATATTTATATACATATATATATATAGACAGATATGCGGACAGACATATAGAATAGCCAGGCGGATAGGTAGGTGGGTATGTGTATATATATATATATATATATATATGTATATGTATACATATGTACATATGCACATATGTATGTATGTATGTCATGCATATATATATATATATATGTGTGTGTGTAGCTATACACATACATGAACATATGGATAAGCACATGCGTTTGCAGAGACGTATGCAAATACGTTTGCAGGTTTGATAAACCCCAGTTCACTGAGCCGCCCTGTCCTGCTGGATGAGCAGTCGTAATGGGTTTAGGGTCTGGTGTTTTCGGGTTTGCTCCGGCAATACATGACCCTTCTTCTCAGATGCCCTCATCTTCATCATTATCATCACTGTTGCTGGCTATTGCTCGTTCCACTTCTGTCCTTGCATATTTCGTCGCTTTCGATGAATACAGCAGGCGGCCAAGCCCGAGGAGCAGGAACTGGAGGCTTGAGCGGAGGGTCGAGGGATCAGGGTTTCGGACTCCAGGTGTGACGGGTGTTTGTGGAGCCTTCCTGTCATGTCTCTTTAGACTGATCTTCTTAATTCCGCTCGTTGTGAAGACTTCGACCGTGCCGACGCGGTCCTGAGCTCATTGAGTCTCAATGCCAGTCCAAGAAGTAGCAATCTTTTAGAAATTCTTAGACCCGGTTTCATCGTGATCTCTCAGTTGCTGCAGCAACTTTCCTCGCCGATGCCGTGCCAGGCTCTCCGTGTGCAGGCCAAGGACACAAACTATGTTGCATGCCGCTGGCTCCGAGTTGTGTACCGCTTGGGGTTTACAAGCGTCTCTCTCTGTTAGGACACTCTGATGGCAGCATGCGCAGATGGAAGCCTGGACGCAGCCTTACAGACGAAGACCCAGGCGGCGCAAGCCTTACAATTCCCAAGTGTTCCGGTAGGGGGGCGGCTTGATTCGCAGTGCTAAAGAAGCCAACACGGGCTTGAGCTCAAAGTGCATCGGTTCAATCCACGAGGTTCACGCACACTGCCTGCATCGGCAGACACGTATGCAAATACATTTGCAGGTTTGAGACATCCCGGTTCACTCAGCCGCCCTGTCCTGCTGGATGAGCAGCCGTAACGGGTTTAGGGTCTGGGGTTTAGGGTTTGCTCTGGCAACACATGGCCCTTCTTATCAGATGCCCTCCTCTTCATCATTACCATCACTGTTGCTGGCTATTGCTCGTTCCACTTCTGTCCTTGCATATTTCGTCGCTTTCGATGAATACAGCAGGCAGCCAAGCCCGAGGAGCAGGAACTGGAGGCTTGAGTGGAGGGTTGAGGGATCAGGGTTTCGGGCTCCAGGTGTGACGGGTGTCTGATCTTCTTAATTCCGCTCGTTGTGAAGACTTCGACCGTGCCGACGCGGTCCTGAGCTCATTGAGTCTCAATGCCAGTCCAAGAAGTAGCAATCTTTTAGAAATTCTTAGACCCGGTTTCATCGTGATCTCTCAGTTGCTGCAGCAACTTTCCTCGCCGATGCCGTGCCAGGCTCTCCGTGTGCAGGCCAAGGACACAAACTATGTTGCATGCCGCTGGCTCCGAGTTGTGTAACGCTTGGGGTTTACAAGCGTCTCTCTCTGCTAGGACACTCTGATGGCAGCATGCGCAGATGGAAGCCTGGACGCAGCCTTACAGACGAAGACCCAGGCGGCGCAAGCCTTACAATTCCCAAGTGTTCCGGTAGGGGGGCGGCTTGATTCGCAGTGCTAAAGAAGCCAACACGGGCTTGAGCTCAAAGTGCATCGGTTCAATCCACGAGGTTCACGCACACTGCCTGCATTGGCAGACACGTATGCAAATACATTTGCAGGTTTGAGACATCCCGGTTCACTCAGCCGCCCTGTCCTGCTGGATGAGCAGCCGTAACGGGTTTAGGGTCTGGTGTTTAGGGTTTGCTCTGGCAACACATGGCCCTTCTTATCAGATGCCCTCCTCTTCATCATTACCATCACTGTTGCTGGCTATTGCTCGTTCCACTTCTGTCCTTGCATATTTCGTCGCTTTCGATGAATACAGCAGGCAGCCAAGCCCGAGGAGCAGGAACTGGAGGCTTGAGTGGAGGGTTGAGGGATCAGGGTTTCGGGCTCCAGGTGTGACGGGTGTCTGATCTTCTTAATTCCGCTCGTTGTGAAGACTTCGACCGTGCCGACGCGGTCCTGAGCTCATTGAGTCTCAATGCCAGTCCAAGAAGTAGCAATCTTTTAGAAATTCTTAGACCCGGTTTCATCGTGATCTCTCAGTTGCTGCAGCAACTTTCCTCGCCGATGCCGTGCCAGGCTCTCCGTGTGCAGGCCAAGGACACAAACTATGTTGCATGCCGCTGGCTCCGAGTTGTGTAACGCTTGGGGTTTACAAGCGTCTCTCTCTGCTAGGACACTCTGATGGCAGCATGCGCAGATGGAAGCCTGGACGCAGCCTTACAGAGCAAGACCCAGGCGGCGCAAGCCTTACAATTCCCAAGTGTTCCGGTAGGGGGAGGGGCTTGACTCGCAGTGCTAACGAAGCCAACACGAGCTTGAGTTCAAAGTGCATCGGTTCAATCCACGAGGTGTAAGCACCCTGCCACCGCAATGATGACCCATCACATCATCAACATCCTCATGATGCTAGCAGTCCTAATGCTGTTGTGGTTGTTTGTGTCAAAGGTTTTTTTCTGCCTGCGTGGCAGGTTGCCGGTCTGCTGGCGGGTTGGGCAGCTGACAACTGCAGTACGGAGCAGGGCCAGGAGCCTCTACGAATAGCGAACGCGTAAGACAGAGTGTTAGAAAGAAGCAAAACTAATACTTGATACCATGGCAGGAGTTATGACATGGTTGATGATATAAATCCTGCATTACCGTAACGGCCCTAAACTATGGGAATTATAGTATATTCCTTGTTATGGGCCATGCAGGATTTATATCATCAACAGTATTGCACAAGGACCCATGAACAAACGGCTGAACCGAAAACTACGTAAAGTAAACGGTAGCAACATGAACAAGTGCGTTTATACAGATATGCAGATGTACATGTGTGTCTGTGTGGGTGCGCGTTTGTGTGCCTGCAGTATGTATGTAGGCACATAGAAACCGACGTGTGCCTGTTTGCATGTGTGTATGTTCGCGTACATACATGCGAACATGCATGCATACATGCTTACACACATGTGTTTAATGTGTGTGTACGGATAAGTACACAATTAGTTTGTATGTATATGCATTGGCATGCTTAGGAAAGTTGCAACAAGTATGCCCTTGATGCGGCCAGGGGCGAGCGCATGTGTTTGCACATGCGAAGTTACAGACGTAAACAGAGACACCTACATGTAAAAATTCATGGACACGAGCCAAAACACATACTCACCCATTTCGTTCAGAATGCACTTCGGGTCGCGATTGGGCTGCGGTCTGAGACCCGGATTCTCGGACAGGCTGTATGACTTGCTACGAAGTGCCTGAGTTGTGCACGCTCGCACCACTTCTGGCTGCTGCGGCCACTGCTCTGGCTGTTGGTCCTGCCCCTGCTGCTGCTCCTCTGCTGCTGTTGCTGTTGCGGTTGCTACTGCTACTGCCCCGGCCACGACGGCAGACCACTGCTTCAGCTATTGTCGGAGTACTTTGCACAATGACTCAGGTAATACTGCTCCGTGCATATGATCTTCTGACGTCAGGACGTCAAGGCCATCAAGGAAAAGGCAGCTGATGCGCTGGTGAAGGCTCTGGCCATGGAGGACCGCCGCAGCGGTACGATATCTTTGCTCTGCAGTGATGCTCTTCGCTACGTTGACATACTGTGTGTTCCATACTACGTCCATTTTCGGATTTTCCAGATGCGGTGTGCCCAGTAATGTCAATGTACAGAGAGCTTCTGGTGTTGCTCCATGCAGCTGTATCATTTCAACTGGTCTGCGGCATGCTTGGGTAGCATGTAGCACGAAGCTTGGAGGTCTCTATTCCTGAGTCTCTGCGTTTTGAGGCTCTTGCCCTTCATTCCTGCATGACATTTCAGCACTAGAGTGTACTCTAGTATGCTTTAAAATATACTATAAACTGTGATAATATCGTACAGTTTAACATCATAGGTTATAACCATCTACTATAACATGCTGAGTAATATGGAGCTCATAGAGCACACGGTCCAATACCAACACGCGGGTCAAGCTTTGCAGAGGATCCGGCGGAGACCACCCCGGAAGCAGCACCGTTGAAGTCTGTCCCGGAACCCGAGGTAGCGGGAAGGGAGGGGCCGGGTGGTGTTGGAATACTGCTATAAGCTATGCTATACGACAGTATATACCTTTCTTTAACATCTAATTATTACAATATACGCTATAGTACCTGTTAGTTTGGTAAGCCACCTGCGTGGTTCAACTAAGGGCTTGGGCATTGCGCGTTCTGCGACTCAAATGCCGAGGGCATTTTTGCTGACCTGAAACTCCGGCAGTTTCGTGGCAGAGTGAATGAAAGGGACAGGCTCAGAGTGAAGTGCACCTGCATGTTAGCCCATCTCTAAGTTGAGTGGGAGGCAATGGCACCACCACCACCGCCTCCACGGGAAGACCAAGCGGAACTGAACATTCAGGATGTGAAGGCGCCCCAGAGATAGTCCCGCTACAACTTGTGCGATTTCGTCAGCGTCAGTTTGATAACTTCAGATTTGTGTGTCTTACCTGCATCGGCAGTGTTCGCTTCTTTGTGCATGTAACCGTCGCATCTACTCGGTGAGCACTGCGAATGCTGCAGCACCTGCTTGCTGTGAATGTTCACCGAGAGATGATGATGATTACGGGGATGACGGTGATGGTGGCTCGCAGGATGATCATCGCGACGGTTGCGAGTGCGCGGCGACGACGTCGACGACGACGTCGACGACGAACAGTGCTGCTGTTGCCGCAGACTGCGGTGATGATGATTCTCATGGCGATGACCATGATGGTGGTGGTTCTGCTGCGGTCGTTGTTTCTGCCACATCCTCTTCCGACCGCAACCACAACTTCCACAAACACTGCAAGGTTTTGCTATCACTACTGTATTGTCCGTACGACAGCTGTTGTGCTGAATCTGTTACTGCTACTGACTACTCTCACCGCTACTACCACCACTACCGCCACTGACGCCACTACTCTCGCTACCTACCACGACCCCTATCACTGTCACTCCGGCTACCACAGCCACTAGTACCACCACGATGACGACCACAACCACCAGCACGACAACATCGACGACGACAAAGACTGCCCCCTTCTGCCACCGCTACGCAACTACTAAGACCATGCGCACAACTACTACTATGATGACGACAACGAGTACTACTAAGAACAATAGCAATGCCGCCACTATTGAAGGCAATAGAATAGTCGCGAAACGAAAACCATCAGCGGCAGTAGCGACAAGAGTGTTCGACATTAGTGTCGTTGCAGGTGTTAGCAACACTGTCCACGGCTACAGCTGTAGTCATAGCTGTAGGCAGTAGTGATAGCAGCAGTAGCACCCATTGTGGTAACAACAGTCCGAGTTTTCATAGCACGCCACCCACTACATGCTTTTTACAATTCTCGAGTTCGGACTTGCAGGCCAGAGCTTGCAACGCGCTGCACAAGGCTCGGGCTTGAGAACTAAGTCCAGTCGGACTCGTTAGGGTTTAGGGTTTAGGGTTTAGGGTTTCTATTTCAGATCTGGGCGTCTTCGATGGGCTTGCCTGCGTTTTCGCGAATGCGTCTCGTTTGCACAACCTGTGAAGTAGCCTTTAGTCAAATCGAAAGATGAAGGCAGAGAAAAGGCGGCCCTCCACAATAGCTTTGAACCAACAAATGGGTTGCCTGATTTTGGTCCTTGTCATCAGGATCACGCATTTGGCGCTGTGTGAGGGGTCCTCTATTTGCTGAAGCTCCGAAACCATACAGCTCTTTAGTGACTTTCACAGGAGTTGTGAGGTTCCAAGAAGTCGGAGGTTTCGCTTAGGCACGTAAATTCAGGGCAGGAGTTTAGGTTCGGCTTGATGTTTCTGTTCCTTATCGCTGTTTTTGATCCTCGCCCCCCCTCCCGCCCCTTTCCCCCCCCGCCATGAGCTCTGTATACTTCGGGCTTTGCGGTTCCCATCCTCGGGTCCTTGCATGTCCTGGCCGAGAGGCTTTGGGCCTTGAAGATGAGCAGCCGGTGGATTTGGACGACGTGAAGGCCTGGAAGAGACAAGGTTTCGGGCGCTGCGAATCCGAAAGCTTGACCTCGGAGTGGGGAGCTTGATGCGGTGTATTGACTCCCAAAAGTTTTGGGCCCAGAACGATGCCTTGACAGGCACGGGCTGCCGGTGCGCTGGAGAAGGCATTGGGCGTTTCAGAATCCGCTGCGACCTCCAAGGCGGGTCATTTCAGTACTTGGCTGTGCGACTCGGTCTGTGAGACAGGACGAGACGGCCGAGGCCGAGCCAGCCCCGGCACAACCAACCTTGGTTACCGAAGTGCAGGAGATCACCAGGTGCCCGGTCAAGTTTGCATCAGCCGCACGCTGCCTCGCATGTTGGGATGCGGTGCCGCTCGCCAGGCAAGTGAAGGAAGAGCTGGGAAAATTCCAAGGCGAGGTGTGTGGACAATTGCAGGACAGCACTCTCTGCATTGGGCACGCTGCACTTGCAGAAACAGCAAAGGTATTGAGGCGGTTGTAGGATTAATCGGCCAGAAGCAGAGAAGCAGCCAGAACCCAAGTATTCGATGGTCATGGCCATGGCATGCAGTGTGACCCAAAGGGGAGAACGTATGCAGCTGAGTCTTTTGGAAGGACCTGAAGCAACTGTCCAGCGAGGTTCGAAAGGATGTCGAGGACATTGCCTGTGCACGTGCATCCAGTTGTTGGCCACGCAGCCCTGCATGAGCCCCACATATGCTCAGCAATGGCAAGTTGGGTAGTCAGAGCACCGTTCGAACCTTTAGCTTCAGTGCCTTATAGTCCAACCAGCGGCTGCTGAAGGATCTCCGGCATCAAGTGGCAGAGGCCAAGCGAGAGGTGTCGGGATCATCTACGTGCCTTGGAAGCATGCACCGGATGCCCCAAGCCAGAGGATCGATGGGCTGCGAGTGCTGCGGCGGTTGTTGGCAGGGGCCGTGTCGCTGCCAACAAAGGCTCCCGAGGTCCTTCCAGGTTCGAATCCTGGACAACTTTCGATCCCCGGGCCACGTCCATGCATACATCGGGAGAGAAGAAGATATATATATATATATATATATGTATGTATGTATGTATGTATGTATGTATGTATGTATGTATGTATGTATGTATGTATAGTATGTATGTTTAAATGTACATATGTATATATGTACATATGTATAGATGTACATATGTATATATGTACATATGTATATATGTATATATGTATATATGTAGATATGTATATATGTATATATGTATATATGTATATATGTATATATGTATATATGTATATATGTATATGTATATATATATATATATGTATGTATGTATGTATGTATATGTACGTATGTATGAATTTATATCAGCAGCGCCTTCAAGCAATCTCTGGGCGCTGCCCGAGGTTTGGTGCCACAACGGTCACCACCATCAAGCCCGAGGCCGCTTGCAGGGACTTCCCAGCGGTGTTATTGGTAGACTCAGAAAGGAGTTTCTACTAACTCCGGGGAAGCTGATATTTTGGAAGGCAGGTGATCCTAAACCCAAAGCCCGCATTTTGGAGCATCTTACACCTCTATGTTGTCCCCGAGAGCGCCTCTGGCCTGCCCGAGTTCGAGTTGAGCGTAAAAGAGCCGGCCGTGAGCAGCCCCCTCACTCTCTAGCTCTTTCTCAAGCTCATCCTCTAGCTCTCTCTTTCTCTCTCTCTCTCTCTGTCAAAGTCTTTGTCTGCCGCTGTCTCTCTCTCTCTCTCTCTTTTCTCGCTGTCGCGTGTCTGCAGATAGACAAGTGCCTGCATGCCGAATGCGAGTGCTAAAAAATAGACAAGTGGACTTGTGTATAACACATATGTATGTATGTTTGTACTAGCGTCTGGATGAATGTAAGTATGCATGCATGTGCGAATGAATGAATGTATGTGTATGTGCGTATGCATGTATGTACATATGTATGTATGTATGCTGCATGAACGTACGTATGTATGTCTGCATGTACGCATGGATAGATGGGTTTATGTATGCATGAATTTGTCTATGTGCAATGTATGTGTGTGTATATGTATGTATGCATGTATACACGTCCGCATGTAAACATCCGTATGTATGTCTTAATATGATGCAATGTAGTGCAGTGTAGTGTAATGTATGTATGTACGTACCTCTGTATGTATGTATGTTTCTTTGCTTGCTTGCTCGGATGTAAGCATGTATGTATGTACGTATGTATGTATGTGTGTGTATTTCTATGTATTTGTGTATCTACACGTATACATGTATGTTTATGCTCATGTAGACATGTATGTGTATACAGGCATGGTGGTTGCTTGCCGTTGCGAGACTTCCCAACGGGGACACTTCAAGGAAGTCCTGCTTTCTTGCATGCATTGAAACGCAGAGCCGGCAGTGGGAGCCTGGCCCAAAACCAGAACTGAAGGATGAGGCACCCTAAATTCATCCAAACCTTACGGTGTGACACACACAACCACACACAACCACACACAACCACACACAACCACACACAACCACACACAACCACACACAACCACACACAACCACACACAACCACACACACACACACAACCACACACACACACACAACCACACACACACACACAACCACACACACACACAACCACACACACACAACCACACACACACAACCACACACACACACAACCACACACACAACCACACACAACCACACACAACCACACACAACCACACACAACCACGCACAACCACACACAACCACACACAACCACACACAAACAAAACACAACCACACACACAACCACACAAACAACCACACACACAGCCACACACACACAACCACACACACAGCCACACACACAACCACACACACAACCACACACACAACCACACACACACAACCACACACACAACCACACACACACACACACAAACACACACACACACACACAACTACACACACACACACAACCACACACACACACAACCACACACACCACAACCACACAACACACAACCCCACCACACCACACACACAACCACACCACACACACACAACCCACACACACACACACACACCACACAACCACACACCACACACACACACACACACACACCACACACACACAACCCACGCACACAACCACGCACACAACCACGCACACAACCACACACACAACCACACACACAACCACACACACAACCACACACACAACCACACACACAACCACACACACAACCACGCGCGCAACCACACACACAACCACACACACAACCACACACAACCACACACAACCACACGCAACCACACACAACCACACACACAACCACACACACAACCACACACACACAACCACACACACACACACACACACAACCACACACACACACACACAACCACACACACACAACCACACACACACACACAACCACACACACACACAACCACACACACACACAACCACACACACACACACAACCACACACACACACAACCACACACACACACACACACACACAACCACACACACACACACACACAACCACACACACACACACACAACCACACACACAACCCCACACACAACCACACACACAACCACACGCACAACCACACACACAACCACACACACACAACCACACACACAACCACACACACAACCCCACACACAACCCCACACACAACCCCACACACACACAACCCCACACACAACCCCACACACACAACCCCACACACACAACCCCACACACAACCCCACACACAACCCCACACACAACCACACACACAACCACATACAACCACACACACAACCACACACACAACCCCACACACAACCACACACAACCACACACACCCACACACACCCACACACACACCCACACACACCCACACACACCCACACACACCCACACACACCCACACACACCCACACACACCCGCACACACCCACACACACCCACACACACCCACACCCACCCACACCCACCCACACCCACCCACACCCACCCACACCCACCCACACCCACACACACCCACACACACCCACACACACCCACACACACCCACACACACCCACACACACCCACACAC